AGCAAGCAAAGCTGTTGTCCCATCTGTCGTTGCTGCATCTTTGTCAGCTCCAGCCTCCAGCAGCAATCGGGCAATTTCCAAGTGGCCTTTCTGGGCTGCAATATACAAAGCCGTTGCCCCATCTGTCTTTACATCTTTGTCAGCTCCAGCCTCCAGCAACAATCGCACAACTTCCAAGTGGCCATTCTGGGCTGCAATATACAAAGCGGTAGCCTCATTTGTCATTGCTTTAGCTTTGTCAGCTCCAGCCTCCAGCAACAATCGGACAACTTCCAAGTGGCCGTTCTGGGCGGCAATAAACAAAGGCGTTGCCCCGTTTGTCATTGCTGCATCTTTGTCAGCTCCAGCCTCAAGCAACAATCGGACAACCGCCAAGTGGCCTCTGTCAGCCGCGATATGAATGGGCATCATATTGAAAGCACCACCTCTCCAGTTGGGATCGTACGGTTTCTGAAGCAAGCTTTCAACTTCCCCCGACAGCCTTGAACTAGCTCATCCCACTTAGTCTCGTCTGGAGCACAAAAGTCCAGGATTACCAGCTGCACACTTGAAACTGGTGTTAGCGGCATGCCGTCATGCAATTCGCCCATCGAATCACTCAAGAGCCTTTGTCGAAATCTTGAGTGTCCGAGCTTAGCTGAAAGGAGCTGCTTTAGGTGCAGAAAGGACTTTCCATGTTCAACCATGTCAAGCAACTCATCCTCATCCACCTGAGCAACTGTTCTGCCAGACACGGCCCTAATCTCCATCATTGAGGCGCAATGAAAAGGGTACAAGCATACGAACCATGGCTGAAAGATATGTTGCGCAAAAGAGTAGGCTTGTACTGTGGAATAGCTGTTTGTATGAAATTTGGTGAGTGCAAAACCATGATCCATCACTATGTCCAGCCGTTAAATCATCCATCCCTCATGGTAATGAGCAAACAGTCACAATGAAGATGTTTCGTCGTTGTCAACAAACCGCGCGAACTGGTGGTTTTTCCAACAGAGCTGGGTGACCCGAACCTTCGACTCTCCGAAGCTCCAAGCTCCGACCAGGTAGCGAGCGAAAGGGTCCTAAGGACGGTCATAGGTCGCTCCTGTTGGTTTCTTGGCTTCCAAGAACCATTCATAGGCTGACTCCCGAATCAACTAAGGATTTTACACTACAAAAACCAGGTCGTTCCCATGTTTTTAATGGTCGAACGGAAGTCTAGGGGTTGGTTTCTTCAAGTCCCATGTCTGTTGCTTCGTCCAGTTCTGCGGACGGGAGCGTCGGTCGGTTTCTGGTTCCGAAGCTTGGTCAACCGTCAGACGGGCGAACTTGTTGGTCAAGCGCCTGTGTTTTGCCAGGAAAAGTCTCGTGGACATGGATTGCGCCAGGTGATGTGTATTGATGAAACATCACGTATCTGGAAACACATCTGATCTACATTCATCCAGCCTTCCTGTGTATCTTGGCGTCCATGTGATGTTCACTCCTCAGACCATTTCAGATGCAGTTTCGCTTCAAAGTTGATGGAGCTGTGGGTTCATTGTGACTTGCTCAGCCAAGCAAGCTCACGACAAGCTCTGCATAGTTGTTCCGTCTGCGATTTCATCGCCGGCCAAACCAAATCAAAACATGTCAGACAAACAAAACCAGCTGAGAGATCTCAGCTCAGTCCGAGATCCCAACTTCGGACGATCCGTGGGTCTATTTTCCACCCCATCCTGAATCATGCTTTTGCTTGCGATCGGTGTCTTCAATGTCCTGCCTGGAACCCCAAACAACCAGAAACAAATGGTTGCTCCAATATGGCCATCGAAATCCTTTACAATAGGAAATGACTGCTTGGGAAAACATCATGAAACATCAATTTCTTTCTGGTTGTTTAGGGTTCCAGGTGGAACTCCCAAAGCTTGTTCAACCTTCTGTGCGAGAATGTTGGAAAACGAAAACGAACTGAAACCTCCCTCAACCAACAGAGGGCGATCTTGATACGATTTCCAACAGAGGTTGAAGGACCCTATAGGCTATCCCATAGGTACCCCAGGTTACGGGTCCTATAAGGTCACTTAACCTCTGTTGGTTCGCTTGACAAGCCGGAGTGGGTGACGATCATTCGAGACCTGTGGCCGTTACACCGGTCTAACTTCACCGGTGTCGTCGATACCGGTGCACGCTCCTTCTGTCTTTCGTATCTACCCTCCGTGGAAATCCAGCACACCGTCGACACCGGGGTGAGGAGTGTGGGATTTTCTGAGCTTCAGCGGCTCAGCGGCTCAGCGGCAGCAGTGCAGTCCTCCGTTCAGTCGTCCTTTCACTCGCTCGCTCGCTCGCTCGCTGCGGTCGGTCCAGTCCACGGCGAGTCCCAGACGCCCACCATCCCCCACCCACCTCCACACCGTCGGCCACTGCAGCCGACAAGACCGGGTCGGTGCTCATCTCCGGCTTCGCCTGAGCGGCGGCTGAGGGAGGTGCAGATTTCGTGGCAGGCGCAGGACTTTTTGATGTGGAAGTGTAGAGTTGGTGGCAGGTGCAGGACTTTGCGGGCCTTGGAGTGCAGATTTGGTGGCAGGCGCAAGACTTTGTGGACGTGCGGCTGAGTCTCGACGGTTCACCTTGGGAGTGACAGGTCTTCTCTACCAGGACCGACACCAAGAGGAGCTTAGTGGTTAAGGGGTGTCCAGAAACCACCGGGCTTTGAAGGTGCTAATATCCAAACTGTCAGATGACCCAGGTTCCATACCACCATTCGCTTCGAATTGGACGACTTCGGTTGGCAATGTTTCTTAGCATGTCTCCAAGGAAGAGTCAAAAGGGACCTCCAAGAGCCATCGGTCGACTCCCGACACAACGATGTCGCTCGCGCCACTGGGCTTTCCGCGCCAGCACGAAGGACCGACATCACCGAGGTTTGGCAGCCCCCCCCACCCCCCTCCCCATCCCAGGAAACGCCGCCACGTGTACGCGCGGACGTCGAACGGACCGAAGGACCCAAGCCGGGTGGACCCGAACGAACGACGGGCCGAACGGACGGACTGCGGAGCGACCTCCCCGCACGGACCGAGGCGCCCTTCGAACTCGGGCGGTGCATTTCTCTGGGGCCTCGGAGTCGGTGCAACTCGGCGGATGGACCGAATCGGATCGGCACGTTCCACTCGGTTCCATCGGGCACGGTGTGTGGGAGTCCTCAGAACGGATGTCTTTTTGGATACGATCCAACCAAGGAACCAAGGAACTGTCCACTGAAAGTCCCTCAATTGAAACTGAACACAATTCTAATATGTATGAGCCAGTCTTGTTGAAGGGAAGGTACTTGACAGCTCATGCCAAGTCCTTTTTGTGTAGACCCTAGGCCCTAAGACCCAAAGAGAACGGTCAAGTCGAGATGTTCAGCTACCATCATTTGGTGACCGGTACTTGCTCTAATTACACTTTGACACACTAAGATGGAAGTGGAATTTCTAGAGGAAAGTAGTCTTCCAAGGAGCCCTTTTCATCCCTTTTGCACTTCTATGTTACTAAGTCAGAGCATTTATGCCAGTTTCGATCATGCTCATCGCCTCCATGGTGGTCCGAAAATCACCCCACGCGACGACCCATCTCCCAACCCACACCCTCCTCTGAGGGTGATTCTTCCCTCATTTTGGGTGATTCTTCCCAAAGGTGACCAGTCCAGCGGATCCCCGAAAGCACCGCCCTCGCCGGGCAGAAAAAGGCGCTTCTTCGGCGCTTCTTCCCTCAGCGAAGAAGCGAAGAACGGCCCGGTGCGTCGGAGAGGCGCCTCCAGTCGCCCCAGTCAGTCAGGGCCACCCGACGTTCACGCGGCACTGAGCACCTGATTGGGTGGGCATGTGGCACAACGAATGCTTGACCCTCCGGGGGGAAGGTGCTTCGACTGTCCTTCAGGTCACCGAAAAAGAGGCAGAAGACCCATGGTCGAAGTCAGAGGTCGATCCCCTGCCTCTCCAGAGGTCGCGATGTATTGGTACCTTTTGGTGGGAAAGAACAGGCAGTTCTAGACCATGAATCAAGTCCGAAGACCAAGCAGGGAGGGCCATCCGCTTCCACATATATATATATATACCTGGACCCTCCAACAGGTCTCTTCTGGAGGCTTTTGTAGACTTAAAAGTCACAGGTGGTGACCTGTTGGAGGGTCCTGGTATGTATTATACATATATACACACAACACATCACAACACCACCCGTCCGTGAGGGATTCATGTCCTTCGTCGATGCTGCTGGATGGAGATCCGAAGGGTCTGTATTCAATGGTATTCAATGGAGAGATCCCGTATGGGAAGAACCATTCAAAATAGATCGATAGATCCCTTATGAGATCTCTTATCGAATAGATCTGTACTTAAAATCAACTTGAACCATCTTGAACCTATGAGATGGTCTCCCCCTATGTCAATACACTCCCACATTCCTGGTCGCTGGTGGTGCATTTCCCCTGTAGTCAACCCCAAAATTGTAGCCTGCCAATGGGTATTCACACCAAAAAAACACAAACTGTTGCTCGTGGGGTTTTGTTGCACACCCATATGGATACGGGCCTGCAGAATGTACATGTTTCACCGATTTTCTTGGCCGCAAGCACAGGGCGCAGGGTGCTAGTGTGTCCTGAACGACAAGTTGTTGTAACATCATTCCAGATTATACTACAGTAAGGAATACTATTATTCAGAACTTATCAAAAATACTAAAACAACCAGGTCCACCCCAGTTCAAATCACCAAACTGATGCGAACGCATGCGAATGCACATGCACAACTCACTGCCGTTCCGCAGTCGACTCATGTCGCACATCGCGCCGCGGTGGTGCTGCTTTGAGAAAATCCAGCCTGCTCCTTGCATCAATGAGAGGCCTTCCATGTCCAACAAAGCCTCATCTTTGCGCAAAAGAAGCTGAGACAATGTTGAGACAAGTGTTTTGTTGGTGGAAAGCCATTCACGGCAGGAAGAAGCTAGTTACTAGGCGATGTGCTGTCAAATGCAAGCCACATCCTCTCCAGAAAGGAAGGGCGGCAGGGCGAGGAAGTACGGTATGATTTACGGTATGGATGATACTGGGATGATGAAACAATGGAACTCACTGTTGAAGTGGACAACCAAACAGGATCATGGTTCCCTTTGGAAATATGAACCTCTTTCGCATGCTCTTTTAGATGCGAAAAAAAAACAGAGCTGCACCGGCGGTCACATGACCAGCCATGAAATCGTAACTAGAAGCCACAGAGAAGAACAGCCACCAATTGGCCAGTTCGAAGTCCAAAACGGACATGAATCATGAACAAATGAACCAGCGCAGACCTCCGCGCAGCTTGGAGTTTGGAATCCATCGAGCCCTGCTCCAGGTCCGGACGTTCACCGAAAGCCCAAGCAATGTGACGAACGGGGTTCATGATCAAGCAGGGACCCTTTAGGTTGGAGGGGTCTCCCCCCAGTGCTTGAAATACACCCACCAAAGAAAGGGGAGACCCTCCAACTGTCCACTTGAAATACATCCGCTAGCTGTTTGATACGTCTCCTACTGCACGAGCAGTTTCCAAACGACTCGACTCGTCTCTTTGACTCTTGGCCAATCTTCCGGTCCCCCCATTTCCCCATGTGCATTGGGAAAGGCGTGGAGCGCGGCAGCAAAGCACAGACAAAACATCCGTTACCATGTGCATTCATCGCTTCGCCAAAACGCATCGCTTCTTCCCGGAAAAGAAGAATAATGAACACGGTTGATGCAAAGAAAAGCTGTCAAGACACGGTTCGTATTGCAAAAGTGGTTTCCTATTGGGTTTCCTTTGCTTTTGCTTGGTTCCCATGGCTTCATAGTCGTCTCTCCCAGTCCGTCGTTTGTAATCAGCGGCATCGTCGAGAGGGGCAGCTGCGGACTTCGCGGCCTGCGCGGCGTCGCAGCAGAGTCCGGGAAGACGTTTGGAACGAGAAGTGGACCCATGAACACGATCAATTGGGTACTGTATTTCTTGGGTCGATCCGGTCGTTTCCAGGGCCCAGTGGATGATGGTTCAGTTGCAGGCCTGTCTCTGAAATAGTGATGCTCTTGTTTGCCAACTGTTACAAGCAATGAGACAGATCCAAACTATACTTCAAAACTCCTAGAAGTTGTTGAAAACTGTAAAGACACATCAATCATTTGGAAAACCTTTTACTGTACCTTACGCGTAAATCGTGGAGGTGTCCAATCTTTGGCCCGGACAAAATGAATTACTGTAACATGATCTGGTTTGTTTTGCCAAAAGCACACGCTCCCCAAGAACACCTTATGAGATTCTGTATACTACATCCTTGACAATCCTTGAACCTTGTCATTGTGATGTTTCATTCTATGGGACAAACGAAAAGAAACGGCATTGAGCAGACAGGCTCAAGTGACCAGAGTTGAAGGTGCCAGGAGCATCTCAAAATTGGTCTGGCCTAGCTCCAAACAACCCGTGAGCAAATGACAGTGTGTACATGTGTGTGTACAGTTGATGAACATCTAAAACTGATTCTTGAGATATCTTGAGACACCAAATGTCCATTTGACTGTGTTCTGATTCTTCGATTCTCCTGTCGACAGCTCTCATCCAGAGGAAAACAGCTCCACCATTGGACCATCCGAAAACACCGAGCTCGGGAGGTCACCTCCGATCCCTTGGAATCCTCGGAGCCACCGTGGCATCCGTGGCTACCACGGGAGGATAACAGGCACAGGCACGCGCGGGGCGCCAGGCTTCCGTCGGCCCATCCTTGATTGAAGTGTTTTTCATATATGCTACCAAAACACCAAGTCGTATCCATTGTTTTATGTACCCTGGGCGGTGGTTCGACCCGCCAAACCTACCATCACCATCTTCGAAAAAGAGGTAGGCGGCCAGGATGATCGGATACATGTGGAACACTTCTGGGGCCGAATTCGCCATGGACCCAGGAGCCCTGGGGATACTGGGGATACTTAAGGATTTGACACTGCAAAACCGGGTCACCCATTGGGAAGGCCATGGTTGACTTGGCCTTCGACCAGCAGACCTTTACTCCAAGCTTCTGCCACCTGAAGCCAAACATGGCCAGGGTACCAACAGGGTCCCGTTCGACCCTCCGTGGAGGGTTACTTTGGCAAATCTCAAGTCCCCGGGCATGGAAAGACCCTGCCTTGCTCTTCACGATCTTTCTCGCATGCCCTTGGATAAGAGCTAGAGCCTCCTCCTGGAAGATGGAAGATGGATAAGGTGGAAGATCTGGGAAATTAAGGGGACGGACTGCCATGAACAAGTACGATCCAGCATGAGGTTGGGTTACGTTGGGTTGTCTGAGTTCGGTTGGGCTGTGCTATAAGACCAAGCCTCAAGGCCAAGCCTCAAGACCATCTCCGTGCTACCTCAGTCTAAGGGACGGAAGTAGAAGGACTCTTTAAATCTGAACCATGGGGACGTGGCAGAAAAGTCACTTACCTTACGAATCCGGGCCCGGGAAGCACCCCACGGTCCCCGAAACGCCCCGCCGGGTTCCGACCCCAGATTTCCGGATTTCCGGAGCCCGGCGTGGTTCGCATCCAGCAGCTGACTCCGCGCCCTACAACTCATTCAGGGTTTACCGTGCAAGAGGGCCTGGGTCAGTTCCTGGCTCCAGTCTCTTAAGAGTCCCCAAAGGTCAGAGATTCAAAGGGAACACAATGGAGCGGATGAGAGCGGGGTGGCGATCGGTCCAGACTTGATTGCAGTTCACCAAAGGAAGGATCGATGAGTGAGGAGTGTCTTAACCTCAGTAAGGCCAACCTCCCTCCCACAAGATCAGTCGCCACAGGTTCCATCGAGATGGCGCTAAGTACAGTAGAGTCCAGCTTGGGGAACAGTCCAGCTTTGAGACGGAGTCACAGTCCTTCGGATCTCTCTCAGAAGAAGGTCTCATCTACTCTTTCAGTACACACCCGAAGATTAACATGGAACCTCAGAATGGACCTTTGGAAGACTATTTTCTTTTATAACCCAGGGCCCAGGGGTTGTCAACTTCTATGTTAATCTTCTGGGGTGCAAATCTACAAGCTACTTTCTTTAGTTCAATCCCAGCTTGGCTCTAGATGATCGTTCATCAGCACAAAAAGGAACATCTACCGCAGCCGCAGCCAGTCCTCGATCGAGCTCGATCCTCCACACCCGGCCAGTCCCAGTCTCATCCCAGTCGACTCTCTCCTCGGCTCTCAATTCGGCCATCAGTAGGAAGCTGAAGAGCAACCTGAACATCATTGGTTTCGTCACCTGGGAGCAGGGCATGAGAGCTGGAGATGAGCCGCGGAGCTGCTGGATATGAGCAGCAAAGCTGGCTTCTGAGGTCTCTCCTCGACTTGGGTGTGTCTAAGACCAACTGTCTAAGACCGACTCTGACTCAGCCGTCTGAGTCTGTCTCAGTGATGAATCGGCCGTGGGTCATGGCGCAGGGGGAACAAGGGCACCTGGTTTTGGGGCTCCAGCCCTTCACCCACCGCCATTTCATCACCAAGCCAGGGATGGAGCGAAACATTGAAGACTGACAGATGGAGTATTCTAATCATTTCTTACGCCTCAGTACCTCAAATGGAGTGAAACCGGATGGATTCACACCAACCGGATGGATTCTGGCTGCCCAGACGGTCGGCAGATCCCTCCCACGTAAACAATATGGGCCGCTCGTCCTCCGGTCGGCTACGGTCAGCACTACAAACACCCGTGTTGTGCAGGATCCGAAGGCCACTGTCTGGCCCAGCAAGCAAATGCTGTTAAGGCTCCAGATAGAACGAACACCCAGATGTATGGCCAGGCTCCAGGCCTTGGATCTTCATCCATCCCAAGAGTACCAGGCTTCCCAACTGTTCCCTCGTTGGCACCGAAACGCGAGGTGTAGGTGTAGAATGGATACCACCCGGTGACCACCCTTTCAACCACCTCAACGCCGTTTTCATTCACTTGTCACACCTTCCACCACCTTGCACCACCTGCCGTTCGATCCAAAACCACGACGAACCCAGCGCCACGTCCCAAGGCACCAGGTGAGTCTCGGAGATATGAAGGCCACACGGTCGGTGCCGAAGGCCTCCGATCCCCCCGGGTGACGTGAGATGCGCTGCGGTGCGTCGACCGTCGCTTCCGGTTCGATGGCAGCACCCTCCAAGAGGTCTTTCACGTACAGGGGGGCTGGGGGGGTCCACCTACTCCAACACCCCTTGGAGCCTGGATGGCAAAACAGCTGGAAGATTCTATGAGGTCTGTTGGTTTGTCGGATGTGGATGAAGACAGCGACCACATGCCCGAAGATGTTGACCTCACCTTGGAAGATTTATGTAATTCATTTGTGGCAAAAAAAATACATTCATCTCCCAGTTCGTCATCGACCCTGGCGCGCTCTACTTCAGAAAGGCATCTCAAGAATGAACCCGTTGAAGAGCCGAGGGAAGAAGGGGTAGGTCATATGACATATATGATTATATATGATATATGTTATATATGCATTTCGGAGAGTGGTCTGGTATCCCAACGCTTCCCTGACCTCGGGCCGGACCAGCTACAGTGCACAGGGTGATGTCAGTGATGTCTTTGTTTTCAACCGAAAAGCCGCAACCGTTCTCGCCATGTGTTGCCTCATTTCTCCGAAAAATCCCCACCTCGGTCGTTCAAAAGAAACATCCTTCCGGAAGACCGGATTTTCCGGGGGTCCCTTTCCACTCCGGGTCGCTTCGCCGCTCCGGGTCCACGACAGGTCCCGGGTCCCGGGTCCCGACGACGACGGACCGGGACGGACGTTCTCGGACCGAGAGAGACGAGAGACGAGACGGAGCGATTCAGTTCCAAAGCACCTGAGGGATGGGGATGGTGAGTCATTGTGAGTACTCCCTCATCTGCCAGCTTCTGTCGGTGACCTGTTGAAGGTTCCAAAAAATGGGACCCTACTCGGAGGCTTGTTTGTGACCGAACCAACCAGGTTATCAAAAGGTCACTTTGAAGAACCAAGTGAAGAGCTTTCCATGTTTACAATCCAAATAAGGTGCTTTGATTCATCAATGAGTCTACATGAATGTCCTTCTCCAGAGTCTTCTGGACCTTCAATTGCATCTACATGCTGCTTTGGTCTTACCGGTCCAAACCCGAGCTATAAGGCTCCAGTAAGCCTAGGCGCCGGCGGCGCGGGCGCGAAGGTGGCCGGAAGGGTTTGTCCGAGCCCACCGATGCTGCAGGGTGAGTCGGCGGCGGCCACTTCGTTTCGCTGGGAAGCGACCCGGCACGACGACGACTTCGACTTCGGCACAGAGCGCTGCGTTTTGGACCTCCACCATGGACCATCCACTCTCCCAGAATCGAAGGGAACACTGAAATCTGCAGTGAAGCCGAGAGGAACTGCTCCATGTTTTGGTGCAACTTCCTGGATCTCCAAAAGAGCAAAAGTAGCACAGACCCGGAGCGGAGGAGCTCAGGCTTATTTTCTAACCTGCCTCTGGTGCTGCCTATGTTTATTTGTTTGCACTCTTGAGCTGGAGTGTGAGACCAAACATCCTGTGTGAAACTCACTCTAGGGTGTTGGTTACTCACTCACACTCTGTTCACCACTGTTTGGGCTAGGCACTCAGATTGAAGTCTAGAGTCTGCAACATGGACAATTCTCTGAACACCTCGGAAGTTGGCAAGTGCAAATACTCTCAGGTTATCACATTTTGTCTATGAAATGGGTACAGTAACAGTACTTGCAAAAATGTGGGATATCTTAAGGGGTCCCTGACCAGAATCAGAAACTACACTCCCTGAAATCATCAATGGTGAAGTGGTTTTCACCACCACCTGTTTGGTCTGTGGATTGAAACCGGTCATCCGTCTAAGTCACGGTGCCATCCACGTGACCCATGATCGAATCATGATCCTAAAACAGGGGGTCTCGGAGTGCAGGCCATCCAAAACCACCCACCACAAGCATCCAAAAGCCCCAAAAAACAGCATCAAACCCCCGCCGCGGTCGTACAAGCCCCCTCCCGACGCGAACTCTCGCAACGACGTCGCATACACGCAAGGGCACAGCGTGTAGAAGCCGACCGCGTTTTTTTCTCCGCTTGCTTGACGGTTCGGAGCAGTAGCGTTCTGTGGACGGTGGCCTGGACCGAGACCCAGACACGATGAGCATCGGCCACATTGCCTTTGGTTCTGCATCGAAAGCTTTGTGCTTAAGCACCCACAGGGTCTGCGGTGGAGTTGGGATATAATAAATACAAAAATGATCAAACATTGGTCGCGGTGATGAACAGGAAATTGAGAGCTCAAAAATGGCCACGGTTTCACAAATGGCGAGCCACCCCACAACTTCGGCTTGAACGTGCGTGTTGCTCTTCCACTTCTCATAGTTGTTCCAAGGCTTGTGCAATGTTACTTTGCCCAAAACGAAAAAAACACGTTTTGCAAACAAAAAGATGCCTGATCAATGGGAAGTACTTTGAAAGGAATGCTTCAGTGTCAATAGCAGCTTCTGTGTCTTGGTAAGGACAACCTCTTTAACATGTGAAAACAGAGGTAAACACGGTCAACGCCACACCCTCCACAAATGGACAGTGTCGCTTCCGGCGCTTCGTCGCGCGGAGCGCGGAGCCAATCGACCCTCCGTCAGATGTGCATCTGTCGAAGCAGCCGTGTCAATAAGCCCCCCGAAATGGATGGATGTTGAGCAAAAGGGTCTCTGGGCCTCATCATGGATGGATGATCCGCAAGCTACAGCTACAACATTTCGGGGGCGCGAGAACTGTTGGTTTCAATCCGGTGAGCAACAGGAAACTCCAATGTGTTTCTTGGGAAGGGGTCAGGTCAAACACCTGTTTGGAACACCGCCTATGTTTCGACACCAAACAACCATCGAAACAATCGCAAAAGCAACAGCGATTCACACGTGACAGAGACGGGGTCGCCTACTTGAATTTGGGTCGCAAGTCAACAGCTTGCAGCTTGTCTTCACAAGAGTAATCACTCTGACATGTCTAGTGACAACAAGACGGAAAATGAATTTGGATGGTAATTTGGATATATTTATTGACTCACCCCCAAACCAACCTGAAGATGGAGTTTTGTCGATTTTACCAGAGTTCTTGATCAAAGGTCGGCTGAACTGATCAAAAACAATCCACGTGCGGGGCCCCCTGGCCTTTCGGATTCCATCGACTCAGTTCATCATCGTCCCTGACGCTGGCTCAGAGAGATATCCGAAGCCAAGGAGAGCAGAGAGGGGGGGCAGCTGAGCGAGGGTTCTTGGTATTAAGAGAATGATCTGCATGGTGTCCTGATGCTGACCTCAGATTTCAAGTTAGTTGATTGATGTGTCTGCTGATGTGTCAGCTATGCAGCTAGGAGACATGACTTGCCCATGCACACTTCTCTCATCCGGTCTGGCTACTAGTTCTTTGACAGAAATGACCAGAGTCGACTCTTGTTGCTCCAGCCGTCCAGTCTCAGAAGGCCTGCGGCGCGGGTGAGCGGCGGCGCACCCGCCCGGCCCACTGGAGCCGAAGCAGCCGAAGCAGCGGAGGTCCGGACCTGGTACATGACAGGTGAAAGACGGTGAAAGAAGACATGGTTTAGATATGTGGAGATCCTTCAGTCAACATGTGGAATTGGAAATCATGGATCCTTTCCAAAAGCAGGATCTCATGGATCCTGGCTGAACTGTTTACAGGAGCATACCCAACCACTATCCAGTCTGTGGGGGTGGAGCTCATGTTTTTGAACCAGTCTCTATGGATAAATACTCTATGATACTATGTCTTATATATCTCTATTGATTGTATTTATTGGTTGCTGGAGTGTGAGACCAAACTTAACTTGTGAAACTCCGGCATGAGAATTCCACTCACAACCTGCTCACCATTCTTTGGGCTCGGCAGCCTCCCACTCACATTCAAGTCCAGAGTCTACAACCTGAGCAATTCTCTGAACACCTCAGAAATCCTCAGAAGTTGGCAAGCTCAAATACTCTCAGGTTATTCCTTGATTGTTCATCAAATAGGTTGCCTTAAAAGTGTGGGGTATCTTTCTTCAGGGCTCCCCCGACCTCGCCCCTTTCATTTCACCATCAACATCTCCTCGACCTCGCCGGGACCTCGCCCGACGTCGCGGCGTCGCGCTGTTTCTCCCGGTCGTCAACGGAGAAGGCCCGAGAAGGCCCGACAACAGGGACCGAGGAACAGTGGAGCGTGGAGGGTTTTCAACAGAAAGACGAATGGGTAGAACTTGTTTCTGGAAATGACGAGAAGTGTGCTCATGGGAAGACACCATGTCTTCCCTCTTTTTCTTTTTGTGCGTCTTTGCCATTTTCGCCGGATTTGGCCTTTGCCATTCACGACCAATTCCCCGCGGCGTCATGAACTCATCTCTTTTCGTTGCCTGGTCCTTCCATACTTTGCCAACGATTGTTTTGCATGGACCACTGGCTGGTGCTCCGCTCTCCACCCTGGTGCTCCTCCGATGCTCCGGGCCCTTCCGCGGTACTCAGAACTCGTCCTCGTCGAAGTCGCCCTTCAGCATGGCCGTCATGGCACTCGCGTAGCTGGAGCCCGTCTTCTGCTTCTTCGCCTCGGTCGAACCGTCCCGTCGCGTTATCGCGTGGTGAGTCAGTCGATTGAACCGGGTCCTTTCAGCGCGGCGTGTTGTCAGTGGTGCACCGGGTGGTTGGTTCTTTCTCTATGTGGGTCAAAACCTGGAGCTCCTTTCACCCCTGGTAACCAGGTTGACCTCCCAGGTACTCTAGTCTGCTGAATCTTCGTGGGAAAAAACAGGGTGCCCCGGTTTTGACCCAGTTTGATACCCAGAGCCAAGATTGCCCATGGACTGGCGGAGGTGTTTTTGCGTAGCGCCATGTAGCCCCGCGCCAGGCAAAACCTAACCTTTCAGCGACGAAGGCAGGGCACAAAAGACTTCTTTTGGCTCCACCGGCCATGGCTCCAGCCATGGCCATTGCGAAGATCTGCGCCCCAAACATGGGCAGCCAAACACCCTTCCAGGGCCCGTAACTGATATGTTTGGCGCTCAGATGTCCCAGACACGACCCTGTCTGGGACTGCCAGTCCGGACTGCCTTCAAAACGGCCAGGGGGTGGTGCCAGGGGGGTCTGTCTGGGGCGGCAGTCCGTCCTGGCAGTCCCAGACAGGTCATGTCTGGGTTTTGGTCGTTGCGTCATGGAGTCGTTTGGTCGTTGGTTCGCCCACCGCACCAACGATGTCCGATGCATGGAACCACAAAGGTAACCTGAACCCGACCCTACCCTAAAGCACCGCTCCTTCTTCCAGATCATTGTTGGTTATATACCTTGTTGCTGAAGCAATCCTCCAACTCAGATTGCAAACAACAAACTACCTCCCAGAGATAGTCAGCTTGGCGCCCAAGAGGTGCTTCATTCCTACCACCTGCCAGAAGGGCCACGCGGGTGGCCGACCCCTGTCCTCAGGACCGCCGCGCCCGCGGCCACTTCCACCCGGGCGGCGTCATCGTCGCCGATGTTTCCGTACAGATCCTCCTGGCCCCATCGGGCACTGGGCTGAACATGCCAGTAGTTTATCATGGCCGGCATAGCCCCAGTGGAGTGCTTGTGAGTCACAGAATCATACATAACATAATCTTGCTGAGTTGGGGTGCACGGAAGTCCTTGCGCGTCTGTCCCAGCAAGAACCGCAACAAAGGCACCAAAACAGCACCCAAGTTCAGTGGCTCTCCCCAAAGGACACAGGAAGATTGAGAAACACTGCTGCTTTATAGCTGGAAAAAACGTTCACATGTCCTCCCCATGCCTCAGACAAGCCGACTTCCACATACCCAAAAAACCTACATCATCCAACGTATCATTAATTATTGCCCCTCCACTTGTTCGTACCTTTTCTCTAACTCTCGAGCCTTTTCTATAGATCCACATGTTCTTGAACTGTCTCGAGCGCATTTCGAGAAGTCGAGCGTTTTCCTCAAACTAGCCATTGTGGCCCATAGTTTTGTTGTCTAGCCCCTGTGGTGCGCTAGCTGTGTGCCCTGAGTGTGTTGTTGTGCACGCTGAGCAAGTCCTTCGCTGCCTTGGCTCAGCCACAGGTACGGCGGGATGCATGGCTTGGCGTGGACACCCTGAACCCCAAGGATTTGAGGTACCCCTGTCAACTTTATGCATCTTCAACAATTTTCTCACATTGATGTATTTGATCTTGATTTGCTGACGCTCTTTCTGGAAAGGTACCTTAAGAACTTTGCTGGTGGTGAAAGGCTGCCGAGGTTTTCCTTGCATGTGTTGAGTTGAAACACTTTTTCAATTCAAGTGGTGCCTCATCAA